TAGTGCGCTCTCATCTCCTCCTCAGCCTCCCACGTCCATTCAGACCCCTTCCGGTGCTGCCACTGCACCTTCACTAGTTGAATTACCTTGCTCCTCAAGGTCTTGATCTTCCGTTCCAGAATCGCGACCGGCCTCTCAATATAATTCAGGCCGCTATCAACCTGAATGTCCTCTAAGGGAACAACTGCCGTCTCATCCACCAAACACTTCCTTAACTGCGACACGTGGAAGGTGCTGTGTATCTGACTAAACTCCTCAGGAAGATCTAACAGATAAGCAACCCGACCCACCCGGGCCAAAACCCTGAAAGGACCAATAAATCTGGGGCCCAATTTGCACCTCTTCCGGAACCTGATGACACCTTTCCAAGTTGAGACTTTCAGAAGAACCCTATCTCCCACCTGGAACTCCAAGTCCGAACGCCTCCTGTCGGCATAGCTCTTCTGCCGACTCTACGCAGTCTGCAGCCTACTACGGACCTGCTGGATCAACTCAGTCGTCTTGAGCACCACTTCGGTGCTCCCTATGACTCGCTGACCGACCTCGCCCCAACAAATCGGGGTCCTGCACTTCCTGCCATATAACATCTCAAAAGGAGGTCGATCGATGCTCGCATGATAACTGTTGTTATACGAGAATTCCGCTAACGGAAGATACGTATCCCAACTGCCCCCAAAATCTAGAACACATGCCCTAAGCATGTCCTCAAGGGTTTGAATCGTCCTCTCGCTCTGCCCGTCAGTCTGAGGGTGGAAAGCGGTGCTGAAATGGAGACGAGTACCCATCTCGTCGTGGAACCGCTTCCAGAATCTGGACGTGAAACGAACATCTCGGTCCGACACTACCGAAACCGGCACTCCATGACGTGCCACAATCTCCCGCACATAGATATCGGCTAACTTTTCCGCCGATATACTCTCCTGAATCGGAATAAAATGAACACTCTTCATCAACCGATCCACTACTACCCATATCGAGTCCACTCCACGTGCGGTCCTGGGGAGTTTGGTGACAAAATCCATGGTGATATCCTCCCATTTCCACACGGGAATGTCTAACGGCTGCATCTTGCCGTGAGGTCTCTGGTGCTCCGCCTTGACCTTCCGGCAGGTCAAACATCTCTCAACATACCAAGCGACGTCCCGCTTCATGCAGGGCCACCAATAATCAGGTCGAAGATCTCGATACATCTTCGTCACTCCTTGGTGGATAGAAAATCGAGACTTATGAGCCTGGTCCATCAATACTTGCCGTACCCCACCCCAGTACGGTACCCACACCCTACCATGAAGCGTCAACAAACCCCGACTGTCGTAATCAAATGAAGCTACTCGGCCCACTATCCTCTCACACTTCTGCCTCTCCTCCTTGAGGCCCTCCATCTGAGCCTCCTTGATCCGCTCCAACAACGGAGTGATCACTGTCATCCTCATGCACAGATCTCTGATAGGGGCCGTCGACACCTTGCGGCTCAGGGCGTCGGCCACCACATTGGCCTTCCCTGGATGATAAAGGATCTCACAGTCATAGTCCTTCAGCACGTCCAACCATCTCCTCTGCCTCATGTTCAAACTCGGCTGATCCATAAGATATCGCAAACTCTTGTGATCCGTGTATATAGTACAGCGGACCCCATAAAGGTAATGTCTCCAAATCTTGAGGGAAAATACAACTGCCCCCAGCTCCAAGTCGTGGGTAGGATAATTAGCCTCGTGAGGCTTCAACTATCTCGAGGCATAAGCTACCACATGGCCTCGCTGCATCAATACTGCTCCCATACCTGTGATCGAAGCATCACAATAGACTATGAAGTCCTCTACTCCCTCTGGCAAGGTAAGGATCGGAGCCTCGCACAATCTCTGTCTGAGAGTCTCGAACGCCGCCTGCTGCTCAGGCCCCCAACGAAAAACCACCGACTTCTTGGTTAGTCGGGTGAGCGGCACTGCTATCTTGGAGAAGTCCTGAATAAATCTCCGATAATACCCTGCCAACCCCAGGAAGCTCCGAATCTCAGATGGAGACCTCGGGACCTCCCACTGCATCACGGCCTCAATCTTGGCCGGATCTACCAAAATACCCTTCTGGTTGACGAGATGACCAAGAAACTGCACCTCGCGCAACCAGAATTCACACTTGGAGAACTTTGCGAAAAGTCTCTCCCTCCTCAAAGTCTCCAACACCTCCCGCAGGTGCTCCTCGTGCTGCCCCTGTGTCTTGGAATATACCAAGATGTCATCTATGAACACTATCACCGACCGATCCAGCATCGGTCTGCACACGCGGTTCATGAGATCCATGAACGCGGCTGGGGCATTGGTGAGCCCAAATGGCATCACCACAAACTCATAATGACCATACCGGGTCCTGAAAGCAGTCTTCTGTACATCCTCATCTCTAACCCTCATCTGATGATAACCGGAGTGTAGATCGATCTTGGAGAACCAAGACGCTCCCTGAAGCTGATCAAACAAGTCATCTATCCTCGGAAGTGGGTAACGGTTCTTCACCGTTACTTTGTTCAACTCCCGATAATCAATGCACATACGATGCGACCCATCCTTCTTCCTCGCAAATAAGATCGGCGCTCCCCAAGGCGAACTGCTCGGCCGAATGAAACCCTTGCCTAACAGCTCCTGAAGCTGTGTAGACAACTCCTACATCTCAGGGGGAGCAAGTCGATACGGTGCTTTGGCTATCGGGGGGCCGCACCAGGAACCAGGTCGATCCTGAACTCAACCTGCCTCCCTGGAGGTATCCCCGGCAAATCCTCGGGGAAACACATCCGGGTAGTCACGAACAATAGGAACATCATCAATCGTCGTCTTGCCCTTCTCCCGGGCATCCAAGACATAAGCTACAAAACCGGCGCAACCCTACTGAACATAGCGCCTCGCCCTTGCGGCGGAACAAAAGGTCGGTCCTTGCTGGGGCCTCTCGCCCTGAATCACTATCTCTCCCCCACTGGGAGTGCGAACCCTCACTAGCTGAAGCTCACAATCAATCATCGCCCCATTGGGGCTTAGCCAATCCATACCCACAATAACTTTATTCCCTCGCAGGGGAATAGGAACCAGGTCCACTGAAAACTGCTCATCAAATATCTGAAGGGAACACCCTCTATGTACTCTGCCGACCCTCACGGTCCTATCATCTGCTATCTCAACCTCTAATGGACAATCCAGCTCCCCTGGAGCTCTGCTAAATCTCTTGCTAAGCGCAAGCGATACAAATGATCGGGTAGCCCCCGAATCGAACAATACCAAAGCAGAGATGCCGTTCACCGAGAACGACCCTAAATAAAACATATCATCAAGTGATATTCAAACGATAATGGTAATTAAAAGGTGAAGGGAAGATACATACCCGTCACCACATCAGGAGTCGCTCGCACCTCCTCTGCTGTCATCTGAAACGCCCTGCTCTTTGCCACTGGCGCATCAGATCGGCCCTGCCGGCCATCCGTAATCCTCAAGGTGGCAGGGGCAGGTGCAACCACCTTCCCTGCTGCAGCTAGACTGGGACACTGGGACTTTTTATGTCCCCTCTGATTGCACTAAAAGCAAATCAGATCTGATGTTGTAACCGTAGTAGCAGGGGCCGTACAATCCCTGCTCAAATGCCCAATCCGACCGCACTTGTAGCAGCCGGAACTCCCTGCCTTGCACGCCCCCTCGTGCAATCTCCCACACTTGCCACACCGACCGTGGCTCTGCTGACTCCTAGACCTGTGATCTGAAACCTTGGGCTTTTTGCCCACACTGCCTGAACCCGAAACCGCCTCCGGTTTCCTCTTCTTCTCCATCTCGAGATCAATCTCCCTCTCTCTAGCTCTGGCAATCATGTCGTCCAGCGTTTTACAACTGGACCGGCTCACAAACATGCGGATGTCATTCCGCAACATCTCATGATAACGGGCCTTCTTCATCTCCTCATCAGCTGCATACTGTGGAACAAGAAGAGCCCTCTCCCTGAACTTGGCGGTGATCTCCGCCACTGTCTCTGTAGTCTGGGTAAGGTCCTGAAACTCCCTAGCTAACTGCTGCACCTCAATGACTGGTGCAAACTCCGCCCTGAACCTGGTAGAGAAATCAGCCCAGGTCATGGCATCCAATGCCGCATCATCCCCGATGGCATGTCTGACCTCCTCCCACCAATCCCCGTGCCCTGTCCTTCAGAAGACAGGATGCCAATCTGACCTTGTCCCCCTCAGGACACCTGCTAGTGCGGAAAGCGTTGGCCACATCTGCCAACCATCTGGTACTCGCTATGGGGTCACGCGCCCCATGATAGTCTGGAGCTCCGCATGCCCTGAACTCCCTGAACGTAAGTGTGCGCGACCCCCATCACGGCCGCCATCTCAGCACGGAAAGTACTCAATCTCTCATCCATCAGCTCTAAAATACCCTCCTTGATCGAACCGAAGATCACAGGAGTCTGCTCCAGTATGATGCGGGCAACCTCAGAAGAAAGGAACTCTCTGGTCTGCTCATCCATCTGCCCGACCTCCGGGCCTCATCCATCTGCTCATCCATTTGCATTTAATTTCTCATAATATAAATAAAATACCATATACAAAAAATACAATCCATTAAATAATATAAAATAAAATTTCTTACTCAAAAAATAAAATAAATTGAACAAATCATAATGTCATATAAAGAATCATTCAAATGTTAAACAAAAATAATACATTGCTAACAGGGGTTATACATTCCTATAAAACTAACAAATAATCATACAACTCTGTTTCTTACTGGAAAGGAATGCCAAACATGATTACAAGTCTCCCTTAATCTTGATTACTCACCTGCTTAAGTAGAATGCTGTTGTTGAGAAGGTTACCTAGCAACAGAGAAAAATACAACACCTCTCCCACAATCACAACATCATTTACAGAAAAAGGGTTGTCAATTACTTTCATTAAGACATTCATTCAATCACAAAAATATTAAATAAAGGTGAAAAAAATAACTTACTTATGATAAGTTGATCCCCTTAGATCAAACACAGCTTAAAGCATTGAACAAGACCCTATTTCAAAATTTTGTAAATACACAAATCATGATACCTGATATTAGAATACACACTTTGAGAAAAGAATACGAGTAGATTAACCTGGATACATAGGAAGTAAAGATGGAAGGTGCCAAAACTCCGGGCCATTGGGTTGGTTCCTTCCCCCCGCACACACCAAGTATCTAAAAACAAATAAAATTTTCTAAGTTTTTTTCAAATATAAACTAAAGCATATATTCTATATAATACACTCACAAAAACGAAAAAAGGAAAAAAGAAAAAGTTGATGTATTACAGAATGCCATGTTTTGCCCCATGATGGGATGGTGGTGACACTGCCATGATCCAAAATCCATTTGCAGGCTTTGGTGCATGCACCATTCAGACCACCATCCAAACCTTCACCCAAACACATGACCAGTGAATACAAACACATGACCAAGGGCTGCATGATAACAAGATCTTCTAGAGCTTCTAGTTTGTCTAGTGATAAGGTGTTGTATAACATATCAACATCCTCAAACTAATCAAAATCCTCCTGCAGATGAAATGGTTTGTGGTGGTTTTACTTTTAGATGCTTTGTCAAAAGTGAAAACCACAAGATTCTTTTATCCTGAATTTGACAAGGTGGTATAGTGGAGATATGAAACGACCCAAAAATACGACTCAAAAATTTCGTTTTTCAATAATACCAAAACCATAATATGAGTATCATAACATAAAAACATGCGCGATGTATCCCAAATCATAATAAAATAATGTGCGGAAAAATGTATCATACTATATCAAATCCAAAACAACTAAAACCATCCCCAGGATAAGAGCTAAGCTGTGGTGTGTGCGATGCTATCACCCCGAGCTCTTCCCTTTGCTTGCGGAAGTACCTGAAACCAAAACTGAAACTGTAAGCACGAAGCTTGGTGAGCTCCCCCAAACTACCACATACCATACAATAACATATAAACACATATTGGGCCTTGCCCACTGCATCGGGCCGAAGTCCGGAACTGCATCGGACCGAAGTCCGGAACTGACTGGGACCTTGTCCCCTGCATCGGACCGAAGTCTGGAACTAACTGCATCGGACCGAAGTCCGGAACTAACTGCATCGGACCAAAGTCCGGAACTAACTGCATCGGACCGAAGTCCGGAACTAACTGCATCGGACCAAAGTCCGGAACTAACTGCATCGGACCAAAGTCCGGAACCGACTTGGACCTTGTCCCCTGCATCGGACCGAAGTCCGGAACTGACTGTCTGAACATCGCATAGCATAACACATCATCTAGCATGAACACATATACTGCATACTACATCGGGCCGTAGCCCGGAACACATAACACTTAACACATAAGACATAGCACACAAATCCTGTCCGAGCCACGAAGGCTTCAAACATACTAGCTACTGCATCGGACCTAAATCCGGAAACTACTGCTAACTGAACGGGCCGGCATTGTGGCCTTAGACCCGTCCCTACTGGAAGGAAACTCACCTCGTAAGCTGGCTGCTGAGTGTGTGGCTCAGGAAGCTAACGGCTGCTGCTCCTGAATCTCCTCGGCTACAAGTCCATAAACACACTCAATCAAATACTAAACACTGCGCTTGGGGTAAAATGACTCTTTTACCCTTGGTCAAAGTCAACTCTCTTTTGGGCTGACTCGTCGAGTTGGGCCGCCCAACTTGCCGAGTCCTACTCTCACTTCTCAGTTCTACTCGCTGCTACTCGTCGAGTGTGGCATCGACTCGACGAGTACCCTCTTGATCCAAGAACTCAGACAATCTTCATCCGACTCGCTGAGCCAGATGAACAAACTCGATGAGTTGTTCTTGATCTTAAGAAGATTGCCTTGGACTCGCCGAGTTGTATGAACAACTCGCCGAGTCCCTCCATCACTGAGTCTACCTCAACTCGCTGAGTCCACTCTCTAACTCACTGGATCCACTCGACACTGGTAAAAATGAAGGAATCGGGAACTCGCGGCCCAACTCGCCGAGTCGTTCTTCCCGACTCGCCGAGTTGACGCCATGCAACTGATTTTTACTCGATTTTGTTTGAATCCAACACATACAATTGATAGATCTGAGTCCAATAAGCTGATTTACCACGTAAAGTTTCCAACTTTACGTGTACAACCTCATGAATAAGGGAAATAAGGCTAAAAGATGCACAAAATGGGTAGATCTATGGTTAATATGCAAAGTAACTCCAAAAAGGCAGTAGATCTGGGCTCTACAACACCCAATCATTCAGATCTAAAGATATCTCGACTTATTAAGGCATTCATGCAAACATAAGGCTTGGAACAAGCATCAACTAGATCTTAGAAGAGCTCTAATGGAGGTTTAAAGCATATAACAAGAGGGGAAATCCGAAAATACCTCAAATAACTCAGATTTGCCCTTGGATCTTTGCACTACAACTCTTCTCCTTGCTCCTTTCTTCTTCTCCTTCTTCACACCTTCGCAAAATGGCACAAAAACACTTATAAGCTCTCAAGGTGGATTAGGGTTTTTCTCACAGTGTTCTCAGGGTGAGGGAGGCGAGAATGGGGCTATAAGGTGACTTAAATAGTGGGCAACCCGGGGATTTACGGTTTCACCCAGACGGATGGACTCGCCGAGTCAGGGATATGGACTCGCCGAGTCCCCGGCTCACGCGTGCTCGAAGTCGCGAAGCTACTCGGCGAGTCAGGCTATGAACTCGCCGAGTCCCTCTTGCAAAACTTACAACAATTACCAATGAATTAACATACCGGGAACGGGTCGTTACAAGAGAACCTCAAAGAAACTTTATGTATGACTGTTTGCATCTATATATAAAGAGAATAATTATTAATTAACATTACAATCAACACGAAGTATGTGATATCCTTCACAGATCTCTAATCCCCTTCTGAAACCGAACTAGCAATCAACACCTAAAACAAAACAAAAAAATGGTTAAGTCAACTATCTGACAAATAGTCAAACATTTTCCTTGAACTATTTGTTAAGTCAACATTTGGTCAATTTATACCTTACCAGATGCTGCCAATACATATGTAATCAGAGAAACAGCCAACCAAACTTGCAAACATATCTGATGAGCAGCCATAGCTATAGGACCTTGCCTAGCAACCATTGATTTTGCTAAGGTTGTTGTTGTAAGTACTACAAAATAAATAAATAAATGCAAATTCAAAAGTGAAAAATAATAAAACAAATAAGTTACTCACCAGATTTCTTATAGCAACATTAGAATCAGTAGTGTAATTTGGATATTGATGAGCGTAACTTGGATGGCTACCTTGACTCCATGAATTTGTCTGAGTATTCTAATTTGCAATTTGGTAACCACCAGATGTCTGATAATCACCAGGATTGTAACAAGTTGTTGAATAAATTGCAGGCCCAGGATAGGACCCTGTATTCTGAAATGAGGAAATAGGTTGATGAGGAGCACCTGTACTTTGATAGGCTCCTGCTGGCTGAACATATGTTTGACTAGGTTGAACATACATTTGACTTGACACATTTGGCTGCTGTTGAGGGTATGATTGATTTAGCTGCTGCTGCTGATAGCTACTACTATATTAACCTGCATATCTTGTTGCTGAAACAGTGCCAGTAGCTGCCACACTCAATCCATCTTGACGGTTTCTTGATTGAGGTTCTGAACGTTGATCATGGCTGAAGTTGGCACTAGGATAAGTTGTGTTCCTTGACAATTCCCCTGTGTAAGTTAGTAAATAAACATCTGTCAGCTCAATCCACCAACCATAATTTTGAAAAATTACACAAACTAGTCGGGAAGATCTGGTCAGGTGTATAACCTGTATGAGTATTATACAAACATTCTCCTCAAATTGACCAATCCCAAGCAATAAATAAACACCATTAGCAATATCATAAACCATAAGCCCAATCCTTCCACCAATCCAACTTCAATATTCACTTCCAACCAAATACCCAAAACGCCCATACCTTTCTTCCCCTAAATACCCAGCAAAATAAGTCCTAGAGAATGTTCCTGTACCCTTAAGAAACCCTTCAGTTACAGTTCCTCCATAATAAATGGCTTCAAAGAAATCCCACCCGGAAGAAATAATCGGGCCAATGATCCGTTTAGCTTTCCGGGGTGCCATTTTTGCAGCTTTGGCTCCATCTTTTTGGGCTTGTTTTGCAGCAGCTTTGGCTTCCATGCCTTGTGAAATTGCATCTGCTAGTGATGCTTCGATTTCTTTGTTTCTTGCTGGTAAAACAAGAGTTTTTAATCAAAAATAAGTTGAACAACTAATTAGAATGATATTTCATGCAGGAAAAGTAATAATAAGACAGATGTAGAATTACTTAACTATCCTAATTTTAATCATCTAAATATCATATTCCTTTTTTTTTTTTTTTGTGACAACCAACCTAGAAACACAAGTCAAAATTTCCTAAAACGAATTACTTCTTTAGTTATATTTCACCTAGGAATAAAGGAAAACACAATCAGCAAAAATAGAGTTTAGCTTACCAAATGATATCCCTGTACTTAAAGGTATATATATATATATATATATATATATATATATATATATATATATATATATATATATATCATTCTATGAAGCTTCAGTTTCAAGCGACTTTCACTTAATCAGGAAGAAGAAGGAATAGAAAAACCAAAAAAAAAAAAATCAGAAGAAGATGCTCGGTTTCTTTGAATAGGAGAAGTAATCAAGTAAATCCATGTTAGTGATTTTCCTTCAAATAAAAGTATAAACGAACCAGAATTTTGGAGGAATCAAGCCAGGTTAAGAAGATGAAGGTTCCTTTCTTTAATGGTCGTTCCTTTCTTCAATGATCTGCAACAATTTTCATGTGTACTAGAAAAATAGCCCCCAATGAACAAACAACTAGTTCACCAAGTATAATGATTACATATATTATACCTGTAGAGTTATAATAGATGAGTTGTTTGACAAGCTATAGGATGCATCAATCATTGAGAAGGATGATACATGATCATTTTTCCAATCACTTCCATCCTGCAATAAATATATATGTATATAATAAAGATAAGGGTTGTATATTTAAAAAAAAAAAAAAAGAATTAACCTGTTGTGCGAGTGTTCCATGGCTCCTTCATCACTAATATTGTCTGATGTCAACACTGTTGACATTGTTAAACTTGTATCTGTTGATCATAAGTACATGTGTTATTTGCTCCTTTTTTATAAGGAAGTCAGAATGTCCAGCTTTAGCATTTAACAATAAAGCAATCCGTAATTTATATTCAAATCAACCTCATTTGCTCCTTTTTTATATGAATTTCTTAGTAAACTTTTATATTATTATAATATATATGTACTTACGTTAAATATAATTGTGAAACCATTTAAAAACAATGATAATAATAATATTAGTTTTTTTTGTGAATAGAGAATGCAAAATATGCAGAGGCGTTGAAGGTATATTTGTTGTCCAGGGACCACTTTAATCTCAAAACAGAATTTCTAGTGGGAATTAACCAGGTTTGTTTCTATTCAAAAACAAAAACATGTTATTTTATTTTATTTTTGTCAAATTCAAAATAAACTAATATCAGGTGCATGGAAGTCCAACTTATCTAACATCTGTGAATCTTTTTTAGCTGGTGGGTCACCTTTTTCATCTGTTGTTTTCATAATGTTGTTATTTACTAGACAAGGCTGAAGAATAAGCATTCGGTTAAAAACAACAAAAAATAATATAACAAAATTAGAAATGAGTATCAATACCTAAGGCTGGATCCAAAGTATCAGGAGCATAGAGGTCCATATTATCCATCATCTGTGAACCTTTATGAACTGGTGGGTCTCCCTTTTCATCTGCTCTTTTCGAGGAAGTTGGCTATCGTGTGCAGGTACATATCAATACATCAAGCTGTGAAAAAGCATTTATGTGCAACATTAACTAGCTACCAGTGAAATTATGTATAATCCACCAAATTAGAGCAGAGATAACTGGTTAGGATGACACTTACATTTTCTTGGTTTTTGAACAAGTTGATACCTTCTTCGTTGGACATAAGATCTTTGGAACCAATAGAATTTCATTAAGCTGTGTAGAATGGGTAACCAGGACCTTTTACTCTGCAATTCATTTTTTTTCACAATAAATAAAATATTAATGCCAATTTTCCCTCTTACTCTAAAACTAACAAGAATATGCTAATTTCTAGAACATAATCGAATTCACTTAAGATTGAACAAGAAACAAGATGCGTTCTCACACAAAAAGATAAGAAAAATAGATGAGTTATGTTATTATGAAAAAAAACTCATGTATAGGAAGAAGCCCTAAAATCAATGTTAAAACAGAGTGAAAAATAGAGATTTGAGGACTAATAACTACTTGAAAAAAACATAGAAACGATCCAAAGATCTAAATGATAGAAAATATAGTTTTTTAGTCCAACTGGGTATTTCATTTTCGTTCTTTCCTTCGATCGGACTTGGTTAGTGTATTTATTTGTCATCTCAACCCATTCATGCCTAAGAGAATCTAATTTGAACTGTGTTTTATCATAGTTCTTTGTGTTGTTGGCCTCCATAGTTGGCTTACTGAAGATGGTGAAGATTTTGCCCTAATTCGTCGGTATGAGAGGAAGAAGAAGAAGAGACGTATAGTGTTAACGGATCCAAATACAAAAAGGTACCGAGTGTGGATGGAGAAAAGGTAGATGAACGATGGTAAGCACAACATACCTTTGTGTAACCAGAAGAGGAGAATCGAACTCGTCAATCGGATGTTGGGCTTGTAAGGAGAAGCGATTTCCGATCGGTGGAGAGAAGGGAAGGAGAAAATGAAGGTCTTTGTCGGATGGTAGCTCTGATTGATAAAGAGATCTCATTCATCATGGCGTGGTGGAGAGGGGAGAAGCAGATCGGAGAAGAGGGAGAAAGAGGGAGAGGGTAGAATCGATTGTGAATATGAAAGATAGAAATTAAAGAAGGTAGAAAAGCGGGTTTTTAAAATTTTTGGGATTTCGTTTTCCCAGTATCTAAACGCGCGTTTCATTAAAATTATAAAGCAACACTTATAGAGGACGCCCAATTAACATTGAGCGCCCTCCGTGTTTTTAATTTTTTTCTTATAACACTAATTTAAGGGCATGCAATAAAGCGTGACCTAAATCGTTAAATTTTTTGAACAGATGACACTTTTTTAACGTCACTCTCTTTTGCGTAACACAAATAGGCGAGTGTCGTGGTTTGCACGTCGTAAAAGGGTCTTTTTCTTGTAGTGCCTCTCTCCTCATTTCTCTCATTTGCCCTCATTTCACTAAGTATCAAACACCACTTTTCTCTCAAACTTTTCCCACTCCAATTTCGAGATTCAAGGCTGATTATCAAGTGTTCTTCCACATTTGGTAAGCATAATCCATTCTCCTTATGATTATTTCACTTCATTCTACTCAAATCATGAATATCTTACACAAACTCCATCATATTAGCGTTAGAGCTTCGAATCTTCAAGTGATTCTTCAAGTGTTCTTGGGTTGAACACTTCTCTTCTTCAACACTTATCTACTGAAATCACTCAAGGTGAGTTCATACCCCTACATTTTCATGTTTTCTCAAGTTTTCAGGGGGGGAATACAAGTTAAAACACTAAGAACATAACTAAAATTTTCTAACAGCCTTCATCAGAAAAGTTCAACTCCATTCACGGACTGTTTTGGGAATCCTAAACATTTTTGTTATCAAAACTGTACAAGGTGCAAATAGTTCAAGTTTTTAGCTTTAAAATGACTACTTTCACATCTCCATACGATTTTTCTACAATTTATGGTGATTTTTACAAAACTGCCTATCATTTCAAACAACAATCCGGACCAATCTGTGATTATGGACTTTTTCACCCAAGTTGGAGGTCATTAAAAATCGTGATAAAAATTATGAGTAAACTAGACACATTTTGTGAACTCTCAGAATTTACGGATCTAGTTTTTGACTTCGTATGATTTTTCTATGATTTTTCCAAAACAGGGCAGAATGGCTAAATTTAGCCAACAGCATGTTAATATCATAACACTTTGTAATATGTTGTATAATCATAAGTTCTAATTATTGAATGTGTTTCTTTGTTAGTTTATCATCATGAACTGAAACTAAGACATTCATAATAAATATTATTCATTCATTTTAGAACACGTATATTAAACTATAAAAAGTATAGTTTGATAAATTCATAACACTAATACATTTCCATAAAAGAGTTCACACATATTACATACATTTTAGATAAATTATCATAGGTATAGTTTATGATACATCACTCAAAACACTCGTACAAAAAGGGTACATTCATACAAGAAAGATTTATATTCACACACATTTCACGTAAATTTGTTAACCTATAGTTTGATAAATTCATAATACTAATACATTTCCATAAAAGAGTTCATACATATTACATACATTTTAGATAAACTATAATAGGTATAGTTTATAATACATCACTCAACACACTCGTACAAGAAGGGTACATTCATACAAGAAATATTTATATTCACACACATTTCACGTAAACTTGTTAACCTATATTGTGAGACTCTCTCTCTCTCGCTCCCCGTACGTCCGAGTGCGGGATATAATTCCTGGTAATTATAATCAGAATCTCCTTGAGGGAGAACGTGATACTTGTATATAGATCTATATTGGGTTTGACACCCCACACCTTGCTGCTAGCTACAGTTGGACCTGCAGGTCTACGGGTGACAAATGTCATTTTATTTTTCGCGACACCTGAGAACGTCGTGGCAGGTTCACATAGTCATAGTATGATTATAGCGACTCACATAGGGATATAACAATCCATAAGTTTACGGGATTTTATTTTTAAAACCTAAATGAGTTTTATGTCGATTTAAAATCACTTTTTATCTCTATGAGTACAGATATTAGTGTACACTTTTGGTTTTGGTAGTTACGACTACACATCATTTGAAACCACATTTATACTTTTAAGTATGGTCAATACTTGTTATTTCTCGGTCCTCTAATTTAGGACTACATATATATAAAGTATTAACGAACATGAGAACATACAGAAATTTCATTTAATTCAAACGCGTCCATGTCCATTTAAGTACATAACATTTTCTATTAATAAGAAAGGTTACTTATACATTTTGGTCTTCAGTCATAAGACTACATTACGCAGATTTTAAAGAAAATATCGGATTTTCTGGATACATATTCTAACGCTTTTACAAGGAAAACGATTTACTTTTCCAACGAAATCTCTTATGAACTCACCAACCTTTGTGTTGACACTTTTCAAAACTACTTGTATTCTCAGGAATTCAGTGAAAACAGGAAATCAACAACGTTTTGAGGATGGGACGATAAATCGTCAAACAGTTCATTTTGTATTATAATGTAATTGATGTGAATCATGTAAACATGTGCTTTGATGTAACGTTTTCAATTATATTTGTGTTGGTTGTATTTACTTTGAGCACTATTATACTCATTGTTGTGATACTCTACATGAAGTCATCCACCCCCGGACGTTTCCGCCATCCTTGGTTTGGGGGTGTGACACATTTAACCAAACCTTACGAGTCATCGTATTGATGAAGTAGGCGGATGTGATTAGCTTTTTAGATATGGATCCAAAAATCCATTTTTTCACAAGTTGATCGAGTTCTTTCCACTCAGTGTCGGTAGGATGGGTATTGGCAGGTCGAAAGTGTCATCAATATGAGCAACAACACCGTAGGAAAATACAGTGAGAGATCACACCATGGTTCCTAATTGCGGGCAAAGAGATCAAGGGTAAAAAGGGATGTATGTTTTGATGTTTGTGGTGTCATACGCCTTGTGAGGAGGTTTTGAAGGGGAGTTGTTTTCACCTGTCATGATGAAGAAGAAAGAAATAAAAGATAGAGGGAGAAGAAAGAGAACGTCAATTGATGAGGAAATTGACAAAAGGTAATGCAAGATCGGCTAGGGTTTATTGGGTCTCTGATACCATGATAAACACTATTTACCCATGAATCTATTCTCATTCATAGATATATATAGATAATACACGATACATACAATACACATGAGCCAATACAAAGGGGCATAACTACACTGGGCTACAATGCAAACATATACATAAATACATAAATGTGTATCCACTAATAGAAACGATTCCCACCCCCAGTGGATAGACTTTATAATCTTAACCCATAAAGCATAATCTTTGGTAAAAGAAAACCCCTAACATCATTTTGTTAATAAGGCTTGATTAAAGGCATAAAGACCTCCCACACCAAATCACCTTTATCCTTGGAAGCTAAAACTAACTCCCATTTCACCTAAGGAAATATTCTATTCATGATCACAAAAAAAAAAAAAAAAAAAAAAAAAAAAAAAAAAAAAGTAAATTACACGGATGGTCCCTATCGTATTAGGGTAATTTGCGTATTTGGTTCCTAACTTTTTTTTAACTCGGAAGGTCCCTAGTGTTTGTTTTTAGTACGCGCTTGGTCCCTACTGTGTGTTTTTGTTGCGCACTTGACCCCAATCTTATCTAAAAAGACCACCATTTAAATAGCAAAAAATTGTGGGGTAGGTAAGGTAAGGTGATGGGTGTAGGGTTAGAGGTGTGTTTATTTAAATAAATTAAAAAACCAAGGGCAAAATAGTATTTTTAGGTAAGATAGGGACCAAACGCGTAACAAAAACAAACAGTAAGGACCTTCCGAATTAAAAAAAATAAATTAGGAATCAAACATGCAAATTACCCTAAACCATAGGGACCATTCGTATAATTTACCCAAAAAACTTAGTTACAGACATGAACACTTCCCGCACCAAACCCCCCGAGGTTAAACTAACTCCCATTTTACTTAACAAAATATTCCCTTCATGCAATTCCACACCCAAAAAATGAGAACCAATAACTTCCAACGTATGATAAACGGTATTTGGAACTTTGAAAATAGACAAAATATATACGAGTAGTCTCCGTAACACATATTTCAAAATAGTAAGATAGCCACCAATCAAAATTAATTTCATTTTCCAATACAGGACATATACGATTCTTTCGGAAGATTCAAATAAGTAAAAAGAAATGAGGCTAATCTACACCCGATAACCAAGGCTATAGGTGCAATCTTGACCTCATTCACCGGTATCCAAAAAGATTAGACTTCTACAAATTTATACTTAATCCAGAAACTACGAAAAAACATTGTAAGGTCAAAGGGTATGGGAGGTTTTTTTACGCGTAAGGGGTGACGTATAGGGGGGTTTTCACGCGTGAACACCGCCCCCCCTACCGGTGAATGTGATGCAGATTGATGTGTGCTACGGATGGTCACGCAAACATTGATTGGTTAATTTTTTTTTTGACCGTTTTTTTTCTTCTTTTTGACTGTTATCTTAATTAATTTAAAACAAAAAAAAAACTTTTCAATTTATTTCCTCTACTATATATACACAAACACATAAACACACTAAACACATCTTTCTTTACAAATAATATCTCTCCACTATCTCATTTTCTCTCAAAAATATGAAGCAAAATCAAAATACATCTACCACTCCAAACACCCCAACAACCCCAACCACTCCAAATGATCAATATTAAGGTTACATTCAAATGCTAACATCCCCAATCCAACATCAACCTCTATTTACCAACATTTCATTTCAACCAAACTACTTCCAACAACAATTACCACAATCTCAATCCCAAGGTTTTCAACAATTTCGACCCCAACAATTTCAAACACAACCATCTCAATAATTCTAAACACCACCATCTCAACAATTCCAAACACAACCATCTCAAGTCCCTTGTTCTCAATCCCCAACTATAAACTTGGACAACCGGGTCGAAGAGACA